GGGCTGGACGTTATCGAATCGCAAGTTAATGAGCATTATGCGATAAAAACATCTCGGTTTGGAGCGTGACCCGCGGCAATCAGATCTCGATGGTTTAGAACGCTATGAAAGCGCCATGAAAACGCTCTTCATAAAGATCTCCGCGAGCTTCATTCCATCGTGAACTATAGATGCCGTCGTTACCTCAGCTCTCAGCTTGTTAAAGAAAACTTTCGGAATTCCCTCTAAAGCGTCTCATCTGACATCTTATCAGAAAGAAAAAAAAAAGGGCTCGATATAGGTCAACCTCGAGTGAGTTCGCACCCTGCAGAGTGTAGTTATAAGAATTTCACTTAACCCTTAGAGAGCCGTTTTTAGAAATGTATACGACCGTAAAAATGTCACACTAGCAAATAATGAATGTGAAAAATGCAGCAATGGAAATTCGGTCAGTTTCAACCGTGATACTCAATATAATTATTTAACACTAACTGCCGCCCGTTTGTGACAAATTTGTTGCAAATTTTTATTCAAATTTTTTAAATTTTAATACACAGCCACTGTTTTTTAGTAATAATTATTTGATCAATTTCTCTATAATTTTATGGGAGAGAGATGCGCATTTTAAAAAAATGCATATAACATTTTAACCAAATTAACTATGTAATGATACACATGACAAAATGTTAAATATGTATATTAATTTTGATATTAGTATTTTACGTACAATTAAATGCAAAATCGAATAAATTTCGTATCGTCAAAAAATTATAGACTGATTCTCAAATAAAAATGAGCATTTTAAACGATCTTTATATTTTTCAACATATTGATTATAATTGAAAGATGCACTAACATTTCTTGCAATCGTGATTTTCTTCAGAAGTAAAACCCAGAGGCATGATAAAAAGCAATTACTCATATGTCGGTTTGCACTTTTGCAGGACGGCGGCACGAAATCATGTTACAGGACGACTTTGCACTTCGAGACGATTCAGTGGTCCCACGCGGGAGAGTGGCTGCTGCTGGTCCGTTCGCCGGAAGGGATCGCCGACGCTTCCGTTCTGCTCAATGTGACGCGCGCTTCCGGATACAGCCATGCCCACGTCCGGTCGGCGAGTATCACGTACCTTCTGCTCTGTCTGATCTTGCAGGCGATCCTGCAGGAGCGCCGTCGCTGAGATAGTCCCATGGGGATCCAGGCGGAAGGAATCTCGGCGAAACTCCTGGCGATGCGGAAAGCTCGGATGTCAACTTTTCCAAGGGAAAAGGGAGGCTTCTCTGTACATAATATCGAAATCTTTTCCCGAGGAATTTTCCACGCGCGACTCTCGCGTCGACGAGACGCACATTCGTCCAACGTGCTATGTCGAAATATTTGTATATCCCCAGCGTTGCAAGCACAATGAAATTCGATGGAGGTACGGTTGACGCGCCCTAGGCGCGGTCTACCACGGTCTTGCTATTCCTTGGATCTTATAGCGAGTTCTCTTGCCCTCCGACAACTCCGAAAGACACGTTTACGAATGCACGATCGCGAGAAAGGGCGTGGGTCCCTGTCACCATTGTGCGAAACCTTAGGCAAGCTTGTGTCCGCGCGAACAAATCCCCCCTATGCGATCGAGATACAGTTAAAATTCGATTTCTCTCTGGCCTTATACGAGAATAGCGAAGGAAGGAAGAGATCGCGCGGGCGTATACTTGAAAAATACATACTTATATAGAGAGAAAATTTGTAAACTACGAATATCCACGCGCGTTGACAGTCGCGCGATAATGTCGCCATACGACATGTGTATATATTTGTATAGGTAATAATGATAAGCCGATGTTTTGCGAATTGTGAAACGTGGTATACCCGCATATAGGGATCAGAACGAAACGGAGACCAATTCTTTTTTTTTTTTTCTTGCGACTCGCGAATTTTTCGCGATTGAACGGGATGAGATACAGTTGTCAACTTGTGGCGGATGCGCTCGAATAGATCGACTTCTTGTCGAGTTGTAATCGTATAACATTGTAAAAGCGAGCTCATAACGAACGCGATGGGCGATACTAATAATAATTATAATAATAATAAAAATAATAATAATAAAAATAATGAAGTAATAATGATTGTGAGTGAGCGGGGATGATGCGCAACAAAAAAAAGTTGCAGATTTTAACGAAGAACATACGGCCAGAACGACAACGCATGGGTGTGTGCTGCCGAATGAGAAAAATTTAATTATGCAACGTCAAATATTCCCGAAGATAGGGCGACTAAAATAAATTGTTGTATATTATTTAGGTAAGTAGAGTTTGATAGCGTGTATATAGTGACTGTAAATGCGTAGGCTATCGTACGCCCGTACTCGACGAATTATACAGGTGACGCTGTTAGAGATATATTTATTATTCGTTGATATATTTTTATAAAGTTTTATTTAGCCATAAGTTCTCGTTCGCCTTCCTCCCCCAGAATATGCGTTCGCACGATCATAACGCGCTCGTTTCGTTAAGAAAAAGAGAGAAAGAGAAAGACAGAGAGAGAGAGAGAGCAAAGCGGCGGTGGCGCTTTGAGTTACGAACTTTTCAACGAGAACTGTTACAATAAAGTACACTGTGTCCTATAAACGTCCTAAATTGAATCTAGCTGTAGCTCATCGCGAGAAACATGGACAGTTGTTGTCTTTACGATACTTTGATCTATCGGATCGGGCGTGACGGCGCGACGCAGCTGTCCTCTCGTCCCGATCGATTCCGCTTCTTTCAAGAGCATCTCTTTAACGTGACTTTTTCGTAAATTTGGTGGTTCCTAATTTCGTAAAGATAGAATTTGTACTCGGCTTACCGACAACTAATGATAATCCTTGTATCGCCGGTTCGTTCTACCAACGCGCGCGATCGCAGTCGGTACTAGCTATAGATACGAAATAACATACCTGATGTCTTCACGTTGATTTAGTCTACTCGACGAACCCGACTTTTGTTTTCAAATCGCTAAGGTGTTATAAGTAAGCAACGTGATGTAATCGTTGTACCCAATGACGCCTAAGAGTCCAATAAATGATATTTACAATAAACGCAGTGTACATTTAAAATTCTTTACTGCAATCAATCCCTTCCCACTGTTTCTTTTTCATCAACCTTTTTAGCTTTTATATTATTATAAAAATTTAACATTGTTTATATATTATTAACACATTCTAACGCATTATAACACTTTTAAATTGTGTTTATTATATTCATTTTGTTAAAGAATTTTAAAAACTTGTAATTTAGAATAAGAAATAATGGTAAGTATTATCGATAATCAGCGCTTAACATTACTCGCCATTATCGGGCAAGCTTTTCAACAGGTTTCAATTACATTTGTTTGACAACTTTAAATGGTCAAAACTACATCGTAAGATCCTTCGATCCGACGAAAGAGAGGTTCCGACGGATATAAAGATTACGAAACTTTGAAGGATTTTCCCGCCGGAATGTTCGCGAGAGGAACACGAATTGGGTCTTTCCAATAAAATAACGTGAATCTTAAAGCTTCGGGGTAAGCCCTAAGTAGAGAGAACGGGGCCGTTGGATATAGACGAATTACTTTCACAAAGAAATCACGCGAAGAATCCTTTCAGCCAACGTGGCCGACTTTACAGCCATTTCCTTCCAAATAGTTTTTACCCGCGATTTGAACTGCGACATTTGAGACCTAGTCTGTTCTCTATTACTTCTTATCCCGGCCGTTTCCTGTTATTCCGAGAGATTTATATCCGTTCCAATATACGGCAAATGTATCGCGTACATTCTTTGCGCTGGTTATGAAGATACGTTTCAAAACACTATCAAAAACTATTTATATTGAGTTTCAGTAAGATATCTTCGATTTCTTAATCAACGATTTTATAAACACCTGCGTTGCTAAATTATATCAATTGATACAAAAACTAGGAAAAAATAAGTAAAATTAATACAGAAATAGGAAAATTATCTTAAGTTATTAGATTATTTTCGAAATTCTGTGATAAACTAGTAATTTATTTGCGCTCATTTATTTCACATTAATATTTTTTAATGAGTTTCTAAATAATTAAACTGCGCCAACTGAAAGAAACGTAACAAGAAATCTCCAATGACAATTAATTAGCATGCCGCTGCCACTTAACAATATCATTTAACATTAGGAAATGATTTCTCCTTCAAATTGCATGCGTCAAGCCGCAGCGCGTCATATCGCGCACCACGTCTGGGAACGTTTCTCGCTAAATTGCACCACGTCGGAATTCGGCGGCATGAGAATTGGCCGCGTTATGCCCCGCCGCGTGTATATACGACATGATGAAAATAATTTAATTCGCAATACCAACACGCAGTGTACCGTGGCGAATGCGCTAACCAAGTCACGTGTAACAGCCGCGTTAACTGGCGCGTACATGTGTATATATTTCTCGGCTTAAATATAACGAGCTTTCGCTACGAACGTCGCGGTGGAGGCAGCAGGATGAGGTGGAGAAGGAGAAGAAGGAGGAAGCAGTGGTGGGTTTCCGTTTGCATGAAACCCGGGGATCGCGTTCCGCCTCTTCCTCCGCGCGCGGCGGAACAATCCGGCTTTGTCTCGTGGAAGCGCGCTTCCACCGCGCGTTTCCTATACTACCACTACCACTTGGCCGCAATTTCAGCTTTTCAGACGTTACCGGCAGATTGAAGAGGCTGCGAGAATAAGAAAAGAAAAAAAAGGGTAAAAGCGAATAGCCGCCAGGTCGTTTTGCGCTTTAACGCGAATGAGATTCTCACGTTCAGCCGGCCTATCATTAATAATAATTACGTCACTCGCGAAAGATCCGATTAATCTCGACAGTCGCAGTCCGACTTCCACGGAATAACCGTCAGACATTCGTCCATTCATCGCTCTATCACGTTTCGTTGAATATTTCATAAACTTCTGTAATATTTCTTATGTGATCTCTATTTCGCTTGACGAGTACAAATGACGCGCTATGACAATTCATAACTGAATGGTCATAATAGCGACACACGCTTAGCATCAATGCAATAAAGAAGCATTTTTTTGCAATGTCATACATTTCCGCTGTATAGGAAGAAGTATAAATCGCTCGGAATAGCGGAACATAGCCGGAAGCAAAAGTAATAGAAAACAGAAACAAGCCGTTTGAAATATATGAAACCAAACATTAATTTGTTATTAAATTTTGCACATTTAATTTAGCATCTTATTGCAACATGATATATTCATAATATCACCTCTCTTTTTTTTTTTCTTATTCGGTAATTTATTTTCAACACGTAGTTCTTCTTCAGCTTACAATTTGAATACTCAGACTTCAATCAATATCGTCAATTTTCCCGATAATCTTTGACTCGAAATAATGACGGAGAGAAACGCTCGTAAACTTCCCCGTAAGTTATGTCCCTACAATCCGTATTCGTGCACCGAGCCGCAACATCGTATTATCTCGGGAGATTTGAAACTTGTATGGAGAAAATTATGTTCGGGATTTTCGTGGCTGAGTCGGCGGCTTCTCGTGATCGCTCTGACTTTAATCTTACCGGCCTGGGACCGAGTCGATTCTAATACATAATGGATCCCCGAGGCCTACCGTCCGAAGCTCGTCCAATCGAATTAATGGCGTCGACAGCACTTTTTTTTCTCTTTTCGGCTTCCTGCTCCCCCTCCATTCTCTTTCGCTAGATTAATATCACGGGGATTTAATGCGTAGATCCATTCTGTATATCGAAATTCCAAGATAGAGATTCATCTTCCAGAGATAATTCAGTATAAAAACTGCTGAAGCAAAATTGGCCAAACCACTGAACAATTAACGCAAAAAATGCATTTTATATTAAAAATACTTTCGATAAATAAGTCTCGTTCAAAAATATTTATCATGTATATTTAAAAAGACTAGAACAATACAGGCGCGCGCACTTATTATAGTGATTTAATAATTATAAAATCTAAATATTTTGATAAATTTTTTTTATTTTAAATAACCGTCAAAATAACCTTCGCTCTCAATCTATCAAAATATCAGAATAATCGCGATAACCAATCAGCGTCGCGGAAAAGTGTCAACAATACTTTCGATACATTCGAGTATCGATCTTTCATGCCTTTTTTAAGAGTGGACTAAAACAATACAGGCGCGTGCCACGCGCGAGCACTTATTATAGTAATTTAATAATTATGAAATCTAAATATTTTAATAAAATTTTTTTTATTTTAAATAACCGTCAAAATAACCTTCGCTCTCAAAGTATCAAACTGTCAGAATAATCGCGATAACCAATCAGTGGAAAAGTGTCAACAATAAACTTCGAGACTTTCGATATATTCGAGTATCGATCTTTCATGCCTTTTTTAAGAGTGGAATAAAGAATTGTAAAAACAACAAAAATTTTTGTTTCTATATAAGCAAACAAGTAAAAAATTAACGCGTCAGTCCTCTAAATAATAAAAGTCATATTACGGTACAAAAATTAAGATTTACTCTTACAACTGTCAAGTGGTCCCGTAGGATAATTTAAATTACAAACTTTTGTCGATTTATTAAAGTTTCGTATATTGCGTATTTGTTTTAGTAACACGAAAATGTTTGGTAAAGGTAATTCTACTGGAAACTTCTAAAACTTATTAGCAATTAAGTTGCCCATCTTTGGAACGGTATAGCTTTGTAAGTAGCGTATATAATGCTAATATTTTCTATAAAATCCGCAAAGTATTTGTTGAAGTTTTATTGTCATTATTTATATCTTCAACTGCTTAATCTTAAATACGAGGGAAGTTGGATACAAGTTATGTTTCCCTTCTTTTGCGTTATCTCTCAGTTTCCGCGGAGCTCCATAAAGAGCAACTTCAAGAATATGCAGTTTAAAGTCCCGTGTTGGCTTCTCTCACCCGCGTATGTTAACGTAGTTTTAACAATAAACTCTGAAACGGCAATACATTGCATCATTATTCCTGAACGTTATGTAATAAAGAGAACCAAGAGAAATATGGACGGTATAAAGTTTGATAGAAAGTGCGAGAACGTGTGCTGAACTTGTTCCATAAATTCCCAAATTTTATCCACTGTTGTAAAATAGGAAATGTCATTTTGCAGTAAATATAAGTATATTTGATTAGAGATCTGCGGCATACACAGGGAGGTCGTCCATTGGCTAATCTTATTATATTCCCCGCAGGCATTATGTGGACTGCCCGTTTTAAGGGAATTACTGTTTAATATCAAATTACTACGCATTACATTGCGCATCAATTAAATCCCTCTGCTCATTTAAACATCATTATATTATTCACTATTCTATGCCGCCGTTGTCAAACTGTACTCGGTTATTGTATTAATTTCTTCAGAAGTTCACCGACTGCCATTCACAGCGAAACACGCCCTCGTTAAGAACTCAAGGTGAAATAGCTATCTTTGTTGTGATATTGCCGGCATTTATCTTACTATAGTGTCCTTGTTCTCCGCTGAAAATCAAGTTCATCAAGGGGAGACAATTAACAAGGGCGAAGCTACCGAAACGCTCGGCAGCGACGCCTTCGTTCTCCAGGAGCAACCGAATAACGCCTACGTGGAGCCAGTAAATTACTCTTAACTTCTCGGAGGGTAAAAATTACGGAGTTGTAAGGCTAGGAACACCCAGGGAGGGCTTAAACCTCCGTCGCCTCGCGAGGGGCCATAATTCTCGCGCTATCTACACAGAAATTGCTCCTTGCCTCGTCCGGGCTACCAGCCACCCACGGGAATCGCTCGTCATTTATTTATTTTCCCGCTTCCCACAGGGACGCGCACGTCAGAAAGCGCGAAAGATATACCCGGGGACACACGTGATCGAGAATACACGCGCCACTATCCGCCCACGCGAAATGCAGCAGTGCGTTCCACCTAATATTCTCAAGACGATCAATTGAAAAAACAGAGTGTGATAAAAAGCGACCTAAAGACGAGCTAAAATAAGTGTCACACTGGGACAGATTTTAAAATCAAGAGCATTGCAAATTTGTAAGAAATGTAATAACAATAACAAATTAATAATAAATAATAACGCAAATTATTAACAA